GAACGATACCTTAATGTTATCAATAATAAAATATCTGAGAGTGGAGGTAACAAAAGATATGTAAGACCTTTTGGGAAAATATGGAATATTTTGAAAGACATAAAGGAAGCTTTAATTAAATAGATGGAGAAATAAATTCTGTTCATGAATATGGAAACTCAGTATGATAACTTCTTCCCCACCTACTCATAAATCCAGTGTAGTGCCGATCAAAATCCAAAACGTTGTTCCAAGAATGACAAGATGATTCTGAAATTCGAAGAACAAGGGGCCAAGAACAGCCAAAATAATCCATAGTAAGAATAAAGTGAAGGGATAGGAGGTTTTATTTAAAGTCATGATAATTAAAATAGTGTGATATTGGCATTGAGATAAACAAATCGACCAATGAGATAGAAATAGCCTAGAAATCCACAACTTGAGACAGGTGTTGCAGATTATGGGAAAAGAATTCTTCAACAAATGATGCTAGGATCACTGGTTATTTACATGTGAAAACAAAATTTCCCCGCTCACATCATACACAACTATCTCACTTGGATTAAAGACTTAAATGAGGGGTGGGGGAAGAGGACTTAAATGAGAAAATGGAATTTTAAAACATTTAGAAGAAAATAACATCATGACTTCAGATATTGGGAACAATTTTTTTTAATCATTTTATTGGGGTCTCGTACAACTCTTACCACAATCCATACATCCATCCATTGTGTCAAGCACATTTGTACATTTGTTGCCATCATCATTCTCAAAACATTTGCTTTCTGCTTGAGCCCTTGGTATCAGCTCCTCATTATTCCCCTCCGTCTCCACTCTCCCCTCCCTCTTGAACCCTTGATAATTTATAAAATATTATTATTTTGTCATATCTTACCCACTCCCTTCACCCACTTTTCTGTTGTCCATCCCCCAGGGAGGAGGTTAGATATAGATCCTTGTGATCGGCTCCCCCTTTCTAGCCCACCCTTCCTCCACCCTCCCGCTGTCACCACTCTCCCCACTGGCCCTGAAGGGATCATCTGTCCTGGATTTCCTGTGCTTCCAGTTCCTATCTGTATCAGTGTACATCCTCTGGTACAGCCACAGAACAATTTCTTAAACAAGATAAAAAACATTAACATAAAAAGAAATATCCACGAATCTAATTTCATTAAAATGAACGATTCCTGTCCATGAAAAGATAACATGAGTAGTAAAAGTATAAGCCAGAAACCTCTAGAACAGCAGTTCTCAACCTGTGGGGTTGAACAACCCTTTCACAGGGGTCGCCCGATTCATAACAGTAGCAAAATTACAGTTCTGAAGTAGCAACGAAGATAATTGTATTGTTGGGGGGTGGGGTCACCACAACCATGAGGAGCTGTATTAAAGGGTCGCGGCATGAGGAAGTTTGAGAACCACTGCTCTAGAAAATACTATTGTAAATAATCAGTATAAAAAAATTTGGCAAAAGTTATAAATAGGCATTTCTCAGAAGGAACAAAGAAGTGGTTCATAATCATAGTAGTTTATTAGCAATTAAAGGACTCCAAATTAATACCACATTATGATATTACTTATAGCCACTCAATTGAGGCAAAAAAAATCTGACCCGGAGTTGGCAAGGCCTTGGGGAAATAACATACTAATAAGAGTAACTGGAACAGGTACTTTGGAAATTAATAAGGTCTCACCTTAGCACAGTTGACCTGCTATATGAGCTGTTCCTCAGTTATTTTTCTCTGTGTTTAACTCTGAAGACTTTTGTAGCAAATGACATGCCTAATGCTCAGAGTAGTGAAAAGCAGGGAACCTCAATATGCACTGAGAACAATTGATAGAAGGGAATAATGTTCATTTATAATGACTAATTTTCTAGGGCCGTTGCAGGAGAAAGATAAAGCTGTCTGCTCCTGTAAAGATTTACAGTGTTGGAAACCTATATAGAGTTGCTAAGAGTCAGAATTACTTAGGCTTTTATTGTCTCAGTTCTCAAGTCTAGAAGTACAAACTCGGGCTATCAGGAGGGTTGTAGTTTCTCTGAAGGCTCTCGGGGAGATCCTCTTGCCTTTCCAGCTTCTGATCGCTGCAGAGAGTGTAACTCCACTCTCTACCTCTGCCTTTGTGTCTCAGCCTTCTCTCTGTTTCTGCGTGTTTCTTTTCTTTTTCTTGCACAGACACTATTCATACTGGAGTAGGCCCCACTCTACTACAGTATGACCTCCTGTTAACTGGTGACATGTACAAAGATCCTATTTAAACAAGGTGACATTCCCCGGTACCCATAATCAGGACTTCAACCTATCTTCTGGGGGGTTATCCATAAGAACAATGATGGAGTGAACTATCACATAAAAATAAATAGATTTTAGAAAACCTAACCGAAGGGAAAAACACCACAATACATAAAGTACAGTATTTTATATTAGACGGTAAGCATGCTAAGTGTTGTATAACTTAGGGACATATATGGGTAGACAAATATGGTTAAAATCATACAATAACCAGTGCTCATATGTAGACAATTGGACATCCCCCTACAGAGAGGTCACAAGGAAGAAATGAGCCAGTCCGGGTGCAGTATAGCACCGATGAAACACACAACTTTCCTCTAGTTCTTTGGTGCTTCCTTACTCCCACTATCATGACCTCAATTCTACCTTACAAATCAGATTAGACCAGAACATGCACACTGCTACAGATAAGAGCCAGCAACACAGGGAATCCAGGATAGATAAACCCCTTAGGGCCAACAATGAGAATAGAGATACGAGGAGGATAGGGGAGGATAGTAGGAGAAAGGGGGAATTGATAGCAAGGATCAACCTATAATGAGGGGCGATGGAAGACAGTGTAAAATGAAAATAATCATATATAACTTATCAAGGGTTAGGGAGGGCGGGAGGGGAATGGAGGGCGAAGAAATGGGGAGCTGATATCAGGGGCTTAAAGTGGGAAGAGACTGCTTTGAAAATGATGGCAGCATATGTGCAAATGTGCTTGACACACTGGATAAATGTATGGATTGTGATAACGAGATGTAAGAGCTCCCGGTAAAGGATTTAATAAAACAAAAAAAAATCATACAATAAGTATGGTCAACAATTATAAAGGAACCAACCACCTTGTAGCATCCTCAAAAGATGCTGGGTCGGAGGCCAGACACAGGCTGTCTGTCTACTGTGTCTTGGTTGGGAGAAGTTAAGCTGTGGTGACGAGAAGCAGGGCAGTTGCTGCCCGAGGAGGGGACTCTGGCAGTGGGCGTGTTCTATGTGTTCCCGTCAGGCTGGGGGTTTTAAGGACACCTGCATTCACCAAACTGATCCCACACTCATTATCTTTTGAAAAAATTTGTTATTGAAAGATCATTTTTTTGAAAGATCATTTTATTAGGGGTTCTTATAGCTCTTTTTTAATCGTTTTATTATTAGCTCATACAACTCTTATCACAATCCATACATACATCAATTGTGTAAAGCACATTTGTACATTCATTGCCCTCATCATTCTCAAAACATTTGCTTTCCACTTAAACCCCCGGCATTAGGTCCACATTTTTCCCCTCCCTCCCCACTCCCCCCAAAAGATCATTTTATTGGGGACTCTTACAACTCATTGAAATGCATCCATCGATTGCATCAGATGTTGCCCTTGCTCTTCTCTGGACATGGGATTACTGTCCTCTCTTTCCCCACCCCCCCACCCCACTCTCATAACCCCGCAATCCATCACAAATTATTATTTTCCTTTCTCACACCGACCGCTGTCTCCCCCCATGTTTTTTGTTGTTCTTCCCCCTGGAGAGGGGTGTATGGTTATGTTTAGATCATTTCGATCGGTTCCCCTTTTCTCCCTTCCTCTCCCCTCCCCCTCTTCCCCTTCCCCTTCTGGGATAGCTATTCCTACTCCTGTTCCTGGATTCCATGTGTCGTGAACCCCCATCTTTTATCTGTACCTGTGTACATGCTCAGGTCTAATCTGAAGCAGCACCAGCATCATGATCGTTGGGGGTGAGGAAGCCTCAAGGAACCAGAGGAATATTGTGTGTTTCCTTGGTGCTTTACTACACTCTGGTTGACTCATTCCTTCCCTGTGGCCCCTGGGGGGAGGGGGGGGGGATTGTTCTGTTGGCTACAGATGGGCTTTGGATCTCTGTTCCAACCCCCCTCATTTTCAACAATGTTTTTGTTTGTTTGTTTGTTATGTGTCTTCTGATGCCCATTACCCAGTCCCGATGACTCCTTATGATCGCACTGTGCTTCTTTCATGTGGACTTGTTGCTTCTCTGCTGAATGACCACTTGTTTAACTTCAAGCCTTTAAGACCCCAGGCGCTATCTTTTAATAGCCGGGCACCATCCGCCTTCTTCACCACATTTGCTTATGGACCCATTTTGTCTTCAGCGATTGTCAGGAGGGTGAACATCTCAGACTGCGATTTGTTGGAACAAAGTGTTCTTGTATTGAGGAAGGGTAAGCGCAGAGGCCCAAAGTCTGTCCTCTACCTCAGTGTATTACCATATAAATATATGTACATGGGCCAATACCTCTATTTGGTGGATTAATGTTATTTACATATGTATACAGCTGTGCTTATACCTCTATCCATTGCTTTGCTTCCTAGGTCCTTCCTCTGTTTCATTTTACCTTTCTCCTACCCCACCATGAATTTCCTCCTATTTCTGCCTCTTGGTACTTCCTCTTACCTCGTTTGCTGTTGCTCTGACACTCCCCCTCATTCCCCACCCCCCAGTCCCTATCTCCTCCTTGTTGACTCTGATTCCCTATTTGTTCCCCTGTCCATGGCGCTGCCTGCTCAATGCTCCCTCCTCCCCCCACCCCCAGGTCCTCCAGGACTGGTTCGAGCTGCTGCCACACTCATTCTCTTGAGCATTTCACTGAATGTCGATTATACCTCAGTTGTTTTTTAATGAGAATTACTGAAGTCGATTTACTGTGTAAAGAATGTGACATTTTCCTCACATTCTTGTTTTGTTTTTTCCTTTTTCTATGTCTGTGTAGGGAAGCTGCTCGAGAGTGTCGTAGGAAGAAGAAAGAGTATGTGAAATGCCTGGAAAATAGAGTGGCTGTTCTGGAAAATCAGAATAAAACTCTCATAGAAGAGTTAAAAACTTTGAAGGATCTTTATGCAAATAAGAGTGTTTGACTCTTAAAATATTTTTGTGGACTTGTCTAAAAATTAGGTGGATTTCTTTTCATTTTGATGGAGTTTTGTAAGACAAAAGGTCAAAAATAAAGCTTTTTATTTAGGCTTTTGCAACTCAGAGATCACTCTCTTCTACAAGAAATCTGGTGACATCGGATAAAGGAAAATATGACCTCCAGGAGGCTACTGGCGCAACTGGAAGCTTTGTAAAAATTAAACAGAACTCAAGATGCAGGAAGTTCTGAGCTTCAACAGTATGAATTGTCTAAATTAACAATAGAAATTTTTAAATGGCAGATAAAATGAAAATTGGGTGAATTGGATTTTTTAAAACAAATTTACCCTCAATGTTTGCATTCCTTACTGTTTCTTGGTATTAACTTTTCAGTAATGTATGTGTATATGTTCTTATTTCTGCCAATGAGTTCCAAATGACAAATGTCAATGAAAAACTAATGCATACGTAAATCCATCAATGCTTTCTGAGCATGTGTACTTGTTCTATTGTCAAGCCTTTTAAAAATGGGTCGTTAAAGTTTCTTGAACTTGAGAGTGTTTTTGAGCGTAATTATTTTTGAGGCCTTGTCCTAAAAGGCATGTAAGGTACATAAATGGAGTTGTGATTTTATGAAATTTTTATTAGAATGGAAAGAGAGCTATTTAAAAGTTTGATACTTTTCACTATTTAAAAGCCTGATACTTTCAAATAGTTTGTTTTGGGTTACTCTGGGAATGGTGATTTTTTACAAATTATAATAAATTGTGTTTTGATTCTATATTCTGTATTAGTTGAATATACATATTCTGTTGTGCTTCAATAGAATGGGATGTTTACAGGCCCTTAAAATGTTGTTAGAGGATTTTTTAAAAACCCTCTGAACATGCTTACCAAAGTTTTTCTAAGAGGATTTCATAACCAATTTAATGTGGAGTTTATCAGAGTCTAAAATTAGTGCAGTTATTAATGCAATTTTGTGTTAGAGACTCTTTTGTACTGTAGTGAATGGTACCTTTATAAAAGTGACTGCCAATATATTTTTATAGCTAATCTTTATAAATTCTAATGCTGACTTTTAATGATTATTTTAAATGTTTATATAGTTGGTTTAGTAAAAAATAAATATTTTGCAACTCAAAATACCATTTTTATATTATGAAAAGTAAAGTTTTCAGATAGGCTAATATTTGAATTGTACACTTTTGGTATGCAGGTTCTCTAAAGTCAGGAATGCTGCCAGTGCTCCAGTGTTTACCTTCTGTATTCCAGTTTATACATACACTTTGAGCTGTGCTACAAGCAACTGTGTGTTCCTTATACAATATGTTTCGTACTGTCTTTTCTGAAATTAAAGGATGTTTGATAAAATTAAGTTTTCTGAATATAAAATTTAATACTTAATATCTGAATGACAAGCTTGCTGATTTTGCAGTGCATTTGTAGTTCTAAAATGAGGGTGAGTTTACAGTTCTGGCTTATACAATCTATTTTTTTACAGTATTTTTAAAACATGTTTTGATTTGGTCATAAAACCTTGATTATTTTTGAAAAATGTATTGTCTTCCCTGCAAGGGTTTAGGACATGTTAAGGAACTAGTATAAAGAGATCGGATCACAGGTGATGAATCTGTGTTCTCTTGATAATAGCTTTCATGAAAAGGATCTATTAAAATGGAACTGTTCACTGGGCAGCAGTTTATGAAGAGAAAAAGCTCAGTCGCCGGTAAAATTACTTGTCTCGTTATATGTGTAAAGCTGGAATTTCAGATCGGAGACCCAATAAGCCTTAAGACTATGAGTTTATATCTATCTATGTAATCTATGAGGTTTTTAGGTGAAGTAAAAGCGAGTTCTAAAAGGTAATGTATTAGGCAAATGTTATATGTGGCTGCAATGGAGGTCTTGGTTCCTTTCCAGCTGGACATGCACAGACATTTGCTGACCCCACTCTGCTTGAAGACATCTGCTAGCTAGTCCCATAGTGATATGGAAAAGGCATATTTATGAAAATTTGATATAGTCTATGAACACATTTATACCATATCAAATATCCTTTTTAATTTTATTGAGTAGAACATAAGAAATGGGCATTTGTTAGAACTGTGCTATTTGTGACTGCTTCAACTTGTTGAAATGTTTCATTTAGTATCCCATCAACTCCTGCAGCCTATTGTTTTGTGAATACCTTCAGAGCAGCTTAGACTTCTTTCAATAGATTTTTTATGGGTATGTAATATGCTTAATTAAGGCCATATTCATAAGGCTGCCTTGCTTATGAAAAATTAACCATTATTAATTCACTAAAACTCTCAATATATTCTTGATCATATGCTACTTCTTGAAATGATTGAATGTCAACAAATAGTTTCTGATACAGTGACTATTCCATTCATCTTTTTAATTTATTTTACATGATTTGCATTGTTCAGCATTGCAGTTCAAGCCTGGATTGTTTCTTCGGGTCTGTCAGCTTCAGGAATGCTGAGCATTTTTCACTTTGCTTTCCAGTCCCAGGTTCCTGCACATTGTCTTCTCAAGCTCTCCTTTGGCATTTTCTGTGTCAGCTTTCCCATCCTTTCTTCCACTGGCTGTAGCGGTTCTGTGTTCGAGAGCAAGTGTCAGAGTTGCTTACTCAGTTCCCTGTCTTGTTAAGGACCTTTCCGCCATGTGGGATGGATGCACTTGACACCACCTCACAGCTTGTCAGGTCGTTGGTCGTTGGTGTTCAGGCATCACATCTGTTCTTGAGCTGTTTTCTCAGTTAGGATAGGGTATACTCCAGGTTCTAGTTTGGCTCTTGTGGACTTTTGATTTTCTTCGGCTTCCACCTAACCTTGTAAATGAGCAAGTGGATTTAAGTAGTTATAAAAATATGGATCATGATAGGGGATTACTACATAAAACATTGTCACCGTGGCAATCCAGATTCCTAGGAAAGATGTAAATGGATTTAAAATGAATGGATTTTGATAAAAGGCCTGATAGCCAATTTAAAGAAATCACAAGTTACAGTCAAAGTAGGGTTGCTTTTACAAAGTACCAAAATTAATCATCATATAGCACTTGCTCTGGTGTGCAAACTGAGTTTTTGTTTTTAATCAGTGAGGTAGTTCCATGGGCCTCTGTCCCCACAATTCCATTATAAGGAGGTTCTGACTTAATTCAAAAAAGTTTTCCTTATAATAACCCTTTATTATCAGCATCATTATAAATCTGATCTTTGCCTTCGAGTGTTGAAAATATCACAAGTAAGCCTACAGATGTGTTTTAACATACAAATTATAAATCTAAAAAATTTACTCTGTCAGTGAGTTAGCCATTTTGTCAGTGGCAGTAATAACTCCACGTGTGGAAGATTCTGGGGCATCTGAATTGTCGTTGCTAATGGGGACAGTGTTTGATGCCAAAATGATTGAAGGATGTGTAGGTGGTCGTTTTCTTTTGTTCAAATCCTTTTGATGTGACAACGCACTGTTTCCCAAATCTGCCTATCAGCTTTTAGCCAAGTGATCAAATTGGGTCCATGTTTTCAAGCAACTAGAGCCCGTGATTTAGTTTAGAAAACACCATCTCTATGGCAGTGTCTGGGACATCTTGCACTGCCTCCCTAACATAGTCCCAACAAACGAGGGACCTGACAGTGCAAGCGCCGATCCTTGTAACTCGAGGAGCAGAAAGCAGTGTGTTTTCCCCTAAAACAGAATG